GCGAATATATATTTATCTTAAAACTCGATTAAACTGAGTTTAAAATTTGAATTATTATAATTCACAATGATTTCTCGTAAACGATCGTTGGAAACATCGTCCCTTGAATGCTTTCTTCTTTATTTCGATACGATTTTCAGAGATATCCTCGTGTAAATCTCTCATTTGCGCTTCGTTTCGCTCGAGACAAACGCAAGAGATTCCTGGAAAAACGCAGTAGAAAGAAAAAAATTAATTGACAAGTAGAGAAGAAAGTTTGCATTGTGTCGAGCGTTAGTTCGAATCCTCGATCGATGAGCAACAAAAATAGATTGAATGTTGTAAGTTTCCTCTGTTTCACTGTGTTTTAATAACACAATCACTTTTGTCAAATCCGTTGAAAATAATCTGTTGTTGCAATAAAATAAAATGCAAAAATTATTCATTTTCGAAGAAAAGAAGGTCATCGATTAAATGCTACTTCGAATCATTCTTGCATCTCTCGATTGATGAGACGAAAACTTCGAATCCTCTTATCTCGATCAATGAGCAACAAAAATAGATCGAATGTTGTACAGTTTCCTCTGTCAAATCAGTGGCAATAATCTGTTGTTGCGAAAAAATAAAATAACAAATACGCTTCCTGCAAAAACTATTCATTTTCTAAGAAAAGAAGGTCATCGATTAAACTTCGAATTCTACTTCGAATCATCTTTGCATCTCTCGATTGATGAGACGAAAACTTCGAATTCTCGATCAATGAGCAACAAAAATAGATCGAATGGTGTACAGTTTCCTCTGTTTTACGATCGGTCAAATCCGTTGGCAATAATCTGTTGTTGCTATAAAATAGAAAAAATAAAATGACAAATACACTTCCTGCAAAAACTATTCATTTTCGAAGAAAAGAAGGTCATCGATTAAACTTCGAATTCTACTTCGAATCATCCTTGCATCTCTCGATTGATGAGACGAAAACTTCGAATCCTCGTATCTCGATCAATGAGCAACAAAAATAGATCGAATGTTGTACAGTTTCCTCTGTCAAATCAGTGGCAATAATCTGTTGTTGTGAAAAAATAAAATGACAAATACGTTTCCTGCAAAAACTCCAACTACTCATTTTCCAAGAAAAGAAGGTCATCGATTAAACTTCGATTCGAATTCTACTTCGAATCATCTCTCGATTGATGAGACGAAAAAAAGAATTTTACTTTCTTCTCCAACTCTTGAAAACTTTCCTCCAGTTTCGCCCTTCGCTGACTTTCGATAGATCCACTGGCATTGTAAAATGCATATAGAACAATTATAAACACGATTATCCTCGCAAGGAGAATCTGTTCGGCGCGATGATGAGGGTAGAATAATATTTCGATAGTTAATTATCGAACAACAACACTTGTACGACTGTGCAACACCACGCCTTTGTCCCTTCGTTCCGCCACTTCGTAAGCGGGAGTACTTGACAGAGTACAACATTACTCGCTATATATCTTTCCTCCTTTCCCGTTTACAACATTATTCCCCATTAATCCCCACGTCTGAAAATCTGACAACACTGCGAACACGTATCGCCATCTCTGATCTCAATCTTTCCAGGAACTAATCGCTCGACGAGAGAAAAAAGCGGGACGAAACTCGATTCGATGTGAATTTTTCTTTGTGAGAAAAAAAAAAAAAAATTCAAGATTCTCGATGATGCGCCACGTGCTTCCACGTGTTTCCGATCGAGGAAAACTTGGATGGTACTTTCCTTCGTTCCACACGAAAAGTTGAAAAATTCGCAGCGCGCGTGAATGAATTTCCATCGCGACACGTTCGACCTGTACACTGCATATCTGTATCGGATTCCAATATTCGAATGTCGGCCAGGGAGAACACGCCCCCTCCCTCCCTCACCCCTCCCCTCTTCCTATTACATATTCGCAACGCGGATCGGCTCTCGCGATCCTCTCTTTTTCGCAATTTCGCCACCACGTTTCGTTTTTTTTTCAACCTTCGTTCCAAAATTCCATCCGGCTATTCTTCCCCCTCCCTAGAATACAGCACGCGGGCTGATCCCTTTAAAGAGGGGTTGGATAGGAGGAGGGGGGATTCTCGTTAAATAAATTCCAGTGAAATTCGGAGAGGAGAGGGGAGAGAGACGTCTGTCGTTTTTATTAACTTGATTTGTTTTTACTTGTTGAGAAAGAGGTAAATTCGTCGATGAATAATTTTTGTATATAATTTGGGGGCATTTTTTGGAGGGAGGAGGATTGAAAAGGATTTTTAAATTATTTCGATTTTTATTTAGAAGCGCGGGGTGTCTTTTCACGAGTATTGTTTCGTCACGTTTAAAATATTCATCTTTATAGCGGGAATATGATTGAAAGTTTAACCTGTTCTCGAACGCTTTCAGACGTTTCTTGACAGTTGGCGGCCTCGTGTTTCTAATTTTCAATCCATGAAAAAAGACAATGTGTATTAAATATGGAAGAAAATTGAAGAAAATTGTACGTACTGCGTTATTCTTGCAATTGTGACAAAATTATAAAAACAAATTCGTTAAAGTTTTTGATAGTCACGATTCATCATTGTAAAAATCGAAGAAAAATTCGGTCATATATAAGATCTTCCTTCGTTATTTATATGATTTTTTGAAATTGAGAATTAATTTTTCATATCGTTACACTCGTTTCGATCCTCTGAAATATGTGAAATATCCTACTTAACGAATGATAAAATAATCAATTTTCTGGGGACAAATAAATAAAGTCATCTTTATAACTAGATTATATTTATAACGTATCTCAAAAAATTCGAGCAACGAATTAAATAATAATTACAAAATATGCGAATTGGTGTTATTTTAATTAAAATTCTAAGATGAGCTGATTAAAATTGATTAAAAGATGAAAATAACGCGTGAATGAAACGTGAAATGTAATTTTCTAATTAAACGACTATGAGGGATTCAAACCCTCGTGAACGCCATTAATAGAGGCGCTATCCTTGTTTTCGCACAGCTTGAATACTGTGGATGGAACGTGTCTGCGAATGAATAACATTCTTCGACAATGTTGCATCGTTCCAGGTAATTAACGCGACGCGTTGATATCACGTTCGAGAATTTGTGCTATGCGCAAGACTTACGATATACCTCTAATTACATCGATCGAACAATTACTATTAGACACATATTATTAGATACGTGAATTAATCCGACGCCAGTTTCATCGAAAACTGATATTTCCTATATATATAATTATGAGTCACGGTTATATTAAATTAATCTAGATTCAAAATGGCCACGAGTCATGATTCAGTTATTCAATTAACGTAGATTCAAAATGGCTATCAACAACATTTGAATAATGATAATTTATAAATACAAATAGATTTTTGATCAAAAAAATTTACGTGAAAAGACAGAAGGAAGGATAGCAAGGAAATATTCGAAATGTCGTAACGAAAAGATGAATTTTGTGAATACATTTCTTATTTTTTTATTTTTTTCGTTTCGTGCTGAATTTCACACGGGGAACACACTTTCTATTTTTAATTATTCGCGTTTCACTATGCGACTCATCTCGGTTTTTTTCTTTTTTTTTTTTTTCTTTTTTGCTGAGAAAAAGAAAAAATTAAAAACGATCCTTTCGCTGACTCTCAGTAAATATCACGGTGTCCTTTGATCGCGGTTTAAATTTAGTTTCCATAACTCTCGTTTCCTTGCGAAAAAAAATCTAATCTGACGGAAAGAAATTTTTAACGAAGGTATTCCTGTTTTTTTCTTTTTTAATTACTCGTATTAGCTCTGGCTTACTTATAATAATAATATAAATATTTCCTATTTTTGTATGTTATAATAATATAAAGAACATCTGGTTTATATATATATATATATATATTAGATCGTATCACATAAAGTTACCAATTTTAGAATAAATGAGAATCAACTGCGACTCGTAAACTTACTACTTAACCTAAATTCTGCTTAGTATATTTGTCCTCTTATACTTCCTTTGTGTGTAATAAGTTCTTTTTTGCTGTTGGTTTAACTATTTTTTGAGAAACGAATTTAGAATTATTATTCCTGTACGAGTTTAAACCACAGCCGAAGTATATCGAGATATTAACTTAGCTTTGAAAAATTCAAATCTGGAAATGAGAATCCACGATGAACAAAGATAAATTGAAAGCCAAAGTGGAGGCAGAATTAGCCGTGTCTCCAATGACAGTTCTCAGATATTTGGAAGGAATGGGTAAAGTGAAAAAATTGGAAAAAGGGGTGCCAACCGACGGAGGATCAAAAGCGTGCTTATCGCACGGAGCTCGAAACGGTGGAAGCCCATTTTTGAATAGAATCGTAACCCGTGACGAGAAACGGATACCGTAGGATAATCGTACGCGATCTGGACGATGATTGGACGCCAATGAAAATCCCTAACGAACGTCGAAACCGTCATTAAGGCCGAGAAAAGTTAGGATAACCGTAGAGTGGTCTGTAAAGGGAATAATTCGTTGTTCTTTTCCGAAACGAGGAGATACCATAACAGAGGCATCCTACTGCCAAGAAATTGATTAAGAAACAAACCGCGGACCTGTTCCTCTGCGTAACAACGCTTTAGAAAAATTAGCCGAATCTTACTCGCCGGATATCTTACCGACCGAGTATCGCTCGTTTTCGCCATTCACACAGTTTTTGAAAAATAAAATCGAAGCAGCATTCGAAGAATTTCTTCGCGCTAAAACCTAAAAGTTTTACAAAAATGGAACGTGTTAATTGAAATCTCGTTTCGGGAAAGGAGATTAAAGTCAATGGCTCGTATTTTGATCGAATAAAAATTAGTTATATATATATATATTGGTATGATAAATTAGACGAGTGAAACGACATTAACGACTTGGCAAAGAAGGAGACCGAAGCTTGAGAGATACGTTAAACGAGAAATATCCCGTTTTATTTTGTTCACTCATCTTCACTTTTATTATTATCGAAGAGAAAACGAAATCCTTTAATTTATCGATCTTTGCGGCAACAGATCGGCGTGTGGAAATCGTGGGAGAAGGAGGGGTTGGACATCAAGGACATCGTCTGGCCAGGCAACACTCACACGCCGCCTCAAGGTGTCCCGGAAAAGTTTTATCTGAAAATAACGTTCTTGGAGGAGCCGCCCTACATCAATCTCGCGCCCCCGGATCCAGTGAGTGGAAAATGTCTGATGGATCGTGGCGTTCATTGCCGCGTGGCCAAGGATTCCGACATGGATTCCGAGTAAGTCCAACTAAATCCCAGCCTCTTCTTCGTCGTTCGATCGAGCTCCATTTTTATAAAATAATTAATTAGTTTTTCTTACTTTCACATAAAAATCGAATAAAAAAAATATCTATTCATCTAAATATTTTCCAATAATCTCTCCTACATAATTTCCATATCTATTATATTTCTCCATAAAATATGAAGAAAAAGATCTAGTAACCTTTAATTAATTATAATTCATTGTTCTTATAGCTCGACGGTCAAGGTTAAATATATATCTGCTTTCCGATTAACGCGTTCACCTTGAAAAAAAGAAACGTAAAAGCAAGAAGTTCTTACCATGTTATTATTGATAATTATGACAACAGTGTCCAAAGAGAGGATCAAATTACGTTGTTTCGAATTTCAGAATGATATTTCTTATTAAATGTTGTTATTTAATAACATTCTCGTTTAATATTTTTTTTATATATATTTATATTTATTTTCTTCCGCTCGAGATTGAAACGTGTAAGAAAATATTTTTCTTAACTATTTTAATAATTTTAATAATTTTAAACTTAACACGATTTAGCTTCGCTCTCGTGAAAGATTAGATTGCTGATATTACTATTATCTATACTTATGGAGGTCAATTTATGGAGAATGGTAATAAACGGCGATTTATCCAAGTCCTCCCAAGAAGTCGTATCGTTTAAGTAATGTTTCCCATTGGACTCGTTTTGCAACGTGTTAGAAACTCACGAGGGACTGCTTTCATCGAGATACGTCTTAATTTCGCAAGGAATCCTATTACATACAAATTACACCATGAAAGAAACGTCTATTCTCCTATTCGATTAAATTATTTTTTTAACCTTTTTTCTTTAATCGATATATGTGTATATCAATTCCTGCGTTACACGACAGCTTAATCGGATTCTGTGGTTCCATCAAAATTTTCCAATATTTCCAAAATTTCCAAAACGTAAGTGAAGAAAATATTTTATTTACTTTAATTAGCAGCTATTACTCTTTATCAATTCCTCTTGCATCTTTGTTATCACGCACGAAAAGCACAGAATCAAACGAGTTTTTCTCATAAATAAACCAAAGTTTAGAATGAAGTTTGCTGTGAGAAAAAATGAAATTACCTTTCGAACGAGCCAATATATTATCCCATGTTGGGGTTGCTCGAGAAAAAATTCAATGTCCATCGAATGCTTGGTTTAAAGGGAGGGGGGTTGCTCCTACTTGGTATTACTTGGGGGGATCGTGAGTCACCGAGTAGGGCGACAGGCGCCAGCCAAGGGTGGAGCGCTTGGTGTCAAACCTGAGGGGTCGTTGAACGCTTCACCACAGTGGGTATCGAGTTCTTCGACCTCGAAAATGGGTCCTTTGACTCGAGCATCGATCCAAGGTCGAAGCTAATCTCTCCACTTGCCCTCGAACACGCCACTATCGAAATCTAATACAATTCTCACGAATCTCAAGAAGAATCTTAAAAGAGAAAATTAGAAGATGTATTTACTTTCCATTGAATCGGATAGATAAACGAGAATACAATCGAATCGTAACTTATTATTAATAAAAATTCTCGAGATGTCACAAGAGAGTACTGTGCAAATGTGCACAGTACTTAAGAAAGATCAACGATTTAAAATTATTTTTTGATTTTTATTATCGAGGAATCTCGTGAGAAACAAAATATTATTCTACGTTTCCAGAGAAGATACTCCATTTACAATAATTCCATGGAGAAAGATACTCCATTTACAATAATTCCAATCGTATGTACATTTGCAATACATTTGCATCTTATGCAAAGCGACTATAATCCATAGTATATTGATGAAGCGACTTTAGTATGCCCGTGGCATCTTATGGAAAGTTATAGTCGCCCGTGGTAACGAAACGATTAAAACGTGCAGCACATTCATCCGATTTCTCGATTCGAATCCGATCGAATCGAAGCTTCGTTTGAACTTTCGCGCCTAATTCCACGTAATTCGTCCTAATCTCTCGCGATAATTTCGAGGACGAAAATCTTTCACTTGATAATTATCCTTATGTTCCTCATCGAATCGAGCACGGAGGTATTATTTCGCCTGGAGGATGGATAATTAGAAAACGAAGAAGGAATGGAAAATGGATCGTGGAGGAGATTACTTCTCTCTGCGATTAAAAATTCCTATTGCGAGGTTCTTCGAACGAGAGAAAAAAATATCGAATCTGGTCGAATAGTTGTTCGACTATGGCCGGGTCAACGATGGAATTCGATGAAATTGAAAGAGCGGCAACACTGGAGGGGAGATTGAAATTGGTTACGATATGGGTTTTCGTGTTTGCTTATACCTCGAAACTTTGATATATATATATATTTTTTTTAACATGTTGACTGTCGCGTCAATTCTGATGACAGCAAAAGTTCTCATCGAGCTATTCGTATTATTTGATCATTTGTGGGTGATCTTACGTAGATATTTGGAAAGATATTTTACAAGGTGTAATATAAAATAAAACTATATCGAATTGTTAGTGGAATTCGATGAAATTGAAAGAGCGGCAAGACTGGAGGGGAGATTGAAATTGGTTACGATATGGGTTTTCGTGTTTGCTTATACCTCGAAACTTTGATATATATATATATTTTTTAACACGTTGACTGTCGCGTCATTCCATATTCTGATGACAGCAAAAGTTCTCATCGAGTTATTCGTATTATTTGATCATTTGTGAACGATCTTACGTAGATATTTGGAAAGATATTTTACAAGGTGTAATATAAAATAAAACTATATCGAATTGTTAGTGAAAAATAATACAAAAATGGTTTATCAAAGAAATGTTTAGAATGTAAAACTAATATGATATTTGAAATTATATTAATAAAATTAGAATTCCAATTCCTCAAACTCATTCAATATTTACGAATATATTATGGAATATTTTATATTTATTCTTTAGAAAAGATTAACATTCTATACAAAGCTGAAGTCAGGATAATTTTGATAAAAAGTTGTTGTTTGCTATATGACTCACTAAAACAACTCTTCCATTTTTCTTTTCGATATTTTAATAATCACATCGCTCCTACTCGGCAAAGATTCGAACTGTTCGCGTAGAATGTCGACGAGTGAGGACATACAACGAAATGACGCAGGAGATTATTCTTGCTACTAAAAATTACCAAAATATTACTAAAATAAAATTACTAAAATCGGTGGAAGGAACTAGCGAAATACGCTTGACTTGAACGAGATTTCGTTGAAAACACGCGAAAACGAGAATCCTCGAGAATATAAAAACACAATACCACGATCGTATCGATTCGTAATATCGGCGAATTTATGCGCCCCAATGTTTGAACTCGTCGCAGGGCAAATTTGCAATCGGCTCCCATTCGACTTTATCTTCCATTCCACTACCTTATTTCATCCTTTCCTTCCTCTTGTACTCTTTAACTCTAGAAAACAAAGAATCGTTTCAATTTCGCTTTCTACGCGATATTTTTCTATTACTATCTTTTTATCATTGAGAAAAAAATATTCTAACGAAACGACACTTTTTCCTTTCGAACGAAACGACTGTGAATATTAAATCGAGCAACAATTATTATCGAGGGAATATTTTTAGACAAAAATTAGTAAAAAGAAAAGAAAAGAAAATTCTCTCTCCACGATCTGTTCGTGAAATATTTGAGAGGGGAAACGCGCGGGGACAAAGCGGTTGAGCAACTAGTATCATTAAACCCTGAACTTTCGGCTTGTGTCGAAGTAGATAGCGATTTCCTTTGAGGTAATCGTAAACTCTCGTCTCTTGTTCGAGCAACGTAACCAACGTTGCCTCTGATAAAAGGAAAATCGATTTCCCTTCCCTTCTCCTCCTCCTCCTCCAACTTCTCGGGGTGAAACGTTTCAACCCGTATAACACTATTACTCGTATTCTGTGTACAACCAACCCGTGCGCATAGTGGACGGAAAAATAAATACATCGGATCGAAGGAACACAGATCCAAGAAATGGGATAAGTTAATGGAAGGGGGAGGGAGAAATATACGTATTGACGACGATCAGACGGGCAGAGCCCGTTGTTCGGATGCCAGATTCGAAAATACGCTTTCTGCTCGACGATATCGAACATATCTGAAAAATGCGATTTCGAGAATCTTATTAAGTTCTTCCTCGTTTTTGCGGATTTTTGATTGGTAAATTTTTTAAATATTTTCGTGTTTTCAAACATCGAACTTTAAACGTGAATGCATTAATTGATTCGCATATTTGAGGGGATGAAAAATGCGTAAGATTTCGCGTAAGAGAATTTCATAAAGATTCTTTATTTTTGGAAATTTTTGATTGGTAAATTTTTTAAATATTTTCGTTATTTTTCAAACATCGAACTTTAAACGTGAATGCATTAATTGATTCACATATTTGAGGGGATGAAAAATGTGTAAGATTTCGCATAAGAGAATTTCATAAAGATTCTTTATTTTTGGAAATTTTTGATTGGTAAATTTTTCAAATATTCTCGTATTTTCAAACATCGAACTTTAAATGTGAATGCATTGATTCGCATATTTGAGGGAATGAAATATGTGTAAGATTTCGCGTAAGAAAATTTCATAAAGATTCTTTATTTTTGGAAATTTTTGATTGGTAAATTTTTCAAATATTCTCGTATTTTCAAACATCGAACTTTAAACGTGAATGCATTAATTGATTCGCGTATCTGAGAGGATGAAAAATGCGTAAGATTTCGCGTAAGAAAATTTCATAAAGATTCTTTATTTTTGGAGATTTTTAATTGGTAAATTTTTTAAATATTTTCATATTTTAAAACATCGAACTTTAAATGAATTTTGAATGAATCCATTGATTCATGTATCTGAGGGAATGAAAAATGTGTAAGATTTCGTTCTTCATTTTTGGAAATTTTTGATTGGTAAATTTTTTAAGTATTCTCGTGTTTTCGAATTTTAAACATGAATCCATTGGTTGATTCGCGCATCTGAAAAATGCGTAAGATTTCGCATA